ATGAGGCAAATTTGCTCTAATTCATTTAAAACATATTCCTACATATTATATTGGTCAGCGATTAAAAAATCTTTGTCCGTAATGGTTTCATTTGCATTTCCACAATCTCATCCATTTTAGAAAGTGAGGCACGCTCCATTTGAATACTTTTGAAAGATTGGCTATTAGCGTCACTCCTATCTTTAATGTTGCAAGCCATTGGGGTTACTAGAGGGAGAAATTTATTTCTTTTAATGACCCAGGTTGCAAGAATGCACTAAGAAATGTAATTGTAGCACAGAAGAGCGGATTGGAATTTACCAAATTCGCTTTCTTCAATCAATGATTCAAAAGACTTATTTAATCAACGAAGGTACACAAAACTCATACGGCAAAAAAGTCTATTAACTGGCATTTGACTTCTGACTTCAAAATACCATGGCCCAACTGCTTGTCATATTCGACCCCTTTCACAGTACTCATCTTACCTTTTACCCTACCTTTATGTCTGTCTGCCTCTTTTACATCTGTGAATCGCTCTTCTGTTCCCCGCCCCTCGAATTTCTGCTACTTTGATGAACCCTCCCTCTGTGAAGCCCGAAGTCAGCTAAATGGCTAATGATATCTATCAAAATGCCTGCCATTTGAAATAAATAAATTTTTAAGTTCCTATTGGCACAATTCAGTATTAAATCAAAATTAAACTTTTTAACCAATGCTAGTTTCGTTTTTTTCTTTAAATTTGGTTGATTGTATTAAATGACTTAATTTATCAAAATAATCTATCCTTTTTTATGAATTGAAATGATTTATATTAATGGAAAATTAAAAGAAATAAATTAAACTGCTAGCATTTAACTGATACACTATCACCAAGATCTCATTTGGAGCTTATTGAGTAGTCTATAGGAATTTGGTAACTTACCGGTTGAAAAATCAATTCCTTCCAAAGAAGTTGGATTAGAGAGAATTGGAGTTCTAAGAGCATCTGTAGATTCACAACCACAGAGGTACTGTCCAACAAAAACGTGTGCTAAAAGCAAAGATTAATTTAGAAGAGAATTGACTGAATCTTCAAGTCAGATAGGCTTTTTTAACCTTAAGAGACTATTATGGGTAACCATATCGTAGACTGAATTAATGTCCGCTCCTTGTTTCAAAATCATTATATATATATATATATATATATATATATATATATGCTTGTCTGAATGCAATATTATATCAATTATAAAAATTTGCCCTTCGCATATAATGTGAAATTATTTTAAGAAATCGAGCTTCGTGGAAGATGATCAAACTATTCATATTTGTAGCTTTAGTTTATTGTTGTTGCTTTTATAGCACTGCATAATTACTTTAAGCGAACTTACTTCTTGGGATATGAACGATTAACTTCGACTCTTCATCATTGATGACTTTTAAATCAGAAAGTACATCGGCCCAGAGAGGTTCCAATCGACCTCGACGTGTCACAAGCGATGGGGTATCCCCGCCCGTGATTGGTTTTCGTAGTAACATTAGCCCCTGACAAGTGGTGGTTTCTCCTTGAGGCTCACGTGACCCTACACAGGTCACTGATGTGCAAGTGAACTCGAATGCAGGCCTGCCATTGCCACTCACCACCTCACTACTTGATAGACTCAGAGAGGGGTAGTATACTTGAAAAAAGATAAAAATATGCGAATATAATATTTTTGCATTGTTTTAGAGCAATTTCTAATCAGATATTTAGATATTTGAGCACTGTTAAATGACAGCCACCGATTAGAACATTTTCGTGCAATTCCAGGGAAAAGCACTGATATGATAACATTAAAGTAAAAATATTAATTATCACATAATTAACTAATTTTCGAATGATAATAATTGAAGGGGCAGAAATGAGCAAGTTAGACGTGATGCGACTTGAAGTGGATACAACTTATTCCATTAGTTTATAATGAATGGGAAACCTTGATACCATTTGGTGGTTTCAATAAGCATAAGTGGAGATTTACTTTAATTATGATTTTGCTTAAAAGAAAAGACTTAAATTCGATGATAATGATGATGAAGACTTTAATTTGAACACACGAGTGACAAAATAGACTTACTTATTCAAATTTTATCACTTGGTTCATATAAACAGTTTGTTTACTTATTTGCTTAATTTAAGTAGGTTTTCAAATTTTTTGATATATAAGCCAATAAGATGAGAGTGTTCTTGCGTTGACCGCTAGTAGGAAATTGTATAATAATCCATTCATATCTGGATAACTGGTAGCATAGTATTTTACAAAAGACGCATTTTGGTGTTAAATTGGTAATGAAATCAACGACTTAATTCACTAAAGTCATTAATTTAATAATTCATCTAAATTCCAATGAAGTCGTATGCACAGGTTTATTAACGAACTTCGAGGTGATTTTTTAATGAAGGCAAAGATTTCATTCTGAAATAACTAGGTTGAATAATTAGTTCAATGCTATTTTCCATTGACGGCGCATGGCGAAGTTAAGCATTCCACAATTTCTCATCGGGAGATCTTTGAACACACGCAAACGTAAAACGATCCAATGTGTGTCAGCAGACGTTGAATGAGGAGGAAAATCGTTGCGTCAAATTTAATCTTCGCATTCAGATCTACTTCCTTAATAAGATACATTCTCCTATGTTCTAATACCAACTAGTTCTTTTCAAGTCCTTGGTTATTAAAAAAAGAAATTATATTTTAATCAAGTTCGATACTTTATTTCAAAAAACAACTGAAAACTGGCAGAAAATAACATGATTGAGCATAATTCACTAAGTTTTGGTCGATGGGTAGTGCTCTCTTCAGTCAAATTAAAATCCATCAAATATATTACTTTTACACATTCAGAAACCCGTTATCTGAGAACACCCTTGACAAAGCAAACATGCACTTCAGATCCAGGAAACTATATATTTATGGAAAGACCGTCCAAATTGTAGATCTTTTCCATAAGTCGATTTTGGTATTAACTAGAAAGTATTTTTATAAAATAAAGTGTATTGACACATACTACTGGACTTTTCTATGCCAATAGTTTTTTAACTAAATAATTCAAATTCTTAAGTGTCAAGATTTGTCAGTTTGTGCTCGTATCCGGGACAATCAATCTTATGGCTAGATGAGTAGAATAAATACTTGTTGTTGTCATATTTCAAATAAGAAAGAAATGTGACAGTGTGATGTAGGATAAAAAGATTTATCCTTGCAATACTTAAAGGGGAAAAATATTTGCACGAATAATTATTGAACGTCTTGGCATAAAGTTTTGGCTATTAATAAATTTATATTCACTATTCAATTATAAGTATTCATTGAAAAATATTTTAAAAATGTTGACTTTTCAACCACCTTAGCCTTTAGCGGTATAAATAAGAAAAGAAATCCACATAAAACAGTAAAATGGACTGTAAATACATAGAAAAGTCTTACATTTCAGAGATGAAGGAGGTTTTCATTGTCTAGTATTCAAAATAGAAACTTCAGAACTACTACAAAACTCTTTCATAGACAACGCTTTTTCCGTTCAAAAGTGCCATAGTTTTTCACATTTATGTTTCAGGCGTACTTACCACATACTGAACAAATCAAGTCAATTAATAGGACGAAACTAAGAAATCGATATTTTTCTCACTTTAATGTTACTCCCTTCTGTGAAGCCCGAAGTCAGCTAAAGGGCTTATGATAACTATCAAAACGCTTGCCATTTGAAATAAATGTCCTAATTCGTGGTTATTATTTCATTATTAATAATAATTATATCTACTCTAGTCTTGATAACCCGATCATGACTGCTTGAAGATAAACTGGTTCAAGGTCGAATTAGCAACCGTCAAATTAAAACAACTGGCCAAAATGGTAAGAATATAGCAGTCAAGATAACAGCAATGATACCAACGAAATTGAGGTAAGAATGATTCGAACATTACAAACTGAGCTCCTTATGAAAAAAAGAGCAGAACGTGGTTTTTCCTGGATTTGAACGATAATTTAAACTTCTTTTAGCTTCCGTTTCTTCCCTCACAGGGCAATTTGAAATTTTAATGTTCAGACCCTATCACATGACAAAACCTTCCGTGAAAGGTAATTCAGTCTCGCGCATTTGCCAGAAATTAACACAATGGATATCAATAGGCAAATCAGCTCTCATGGGTGAAAATTGAGTGAATAATTCAAATGGAATGAAAAAAACCGATGCACTGCCTTTCGGTGTTTAAGTGAATTTACCACTGCCATTTATATTTGGTTGCCAATGCATAAGTTTGGTAACTGTATTTCCAACAGTTGCCATTATGGCGTAACTAATGCCTCCCCCCAATTCCAAATGTATGGAATTTTTTCGGAGTGGAGTCTAATCACCAGAGTGGGATACACCCCTATGGATCCTAATGCTTACATCTGCCTACGCGGCACTGCAAATGTTAGGAGTGGCAGATAATGTCTGATCATACGCACTGCAAATCCCCTCAGAAAGAAATGCTACAGGAATGCTAAATTATAGCCCTTTTTAAAAGTTAATTCCCAAAGCCCATCAAAGTAAATTGAGTGCAATTGGATCACTTTCTCTTTGGTACCTTCTAGACTCCCGCAATTGCAATACAATTTCCGTTTACTGGTTACAAGGTCCCTGTTCCTCACGGCCCTTCTTCAACAAAATTTTTCGCCATTGTCTCCTGTTCATTCCTGCCTTGCAGAAGCTGATTGCTCACATCTTAACAACTCCCATCCTGTGCTTCCATTTCCTAAACTGGAGCTTCAACCAATATAAATGGATTAATTACAGGTTACACACAAATGACCTTGAATTTTGTGGGAGGGGGGAGGGAGGGAGGGCTTATTCAGTCTACCAAATAATAAACAGGTGTTTTAGACGCCCATTTTAGCTGAAAGTGTTTTAAACGAAGATTTAAGTTTAAGTTTAAACACCGGGAAATTGACAGGAAAGATCTTTAGGGAGAAAGAGGTGGTGAATTAAATTTCGCTGAATTTAAAGATGATATCATTCAAACAACCTGACAGTTTGTTAAAAATCGCCATAAATAAACTAAACACCACTTAACTCCTCTCTAGATCATGAACTTTTCATTATGCAAATTTAATCAGAGAGATTTAAAACTGTAAAATAGATGCAAATTGTTTTAAAATGAACACATCTACTGCTACTATCAAACACTTACATTGGAAGCTCAGCCCAGACCGAATAGGATTTTGCATAATTCATCCAAGAAAATAAAATGCAATTTTTTTTCTTAGACGCAAAACACACATTCAACTTTCTTTACTTGCTCAGAAAATATTAATTTCAATTTCCGGCCAGTGGGTGAATTTAATAATAGCAATGTTTGACTGAATGTAAAATTAATGAAGCCCACATGGAAGGTTCAGTTTCATTTTTCTATAGCCACAACCTATTTTTTATGACCATTCGAAAATATGCAGCAATAGACGAACCTTAGCCACCACTTCAAGTTATTACACAAGCACTACGAATTTCTTGAATAACGTCAAGCTATTCAACTTGGGATGCGCGATAGACGTACCTCCACGTGGTACAGCCTGGACAACGTATGCCAATATGGCAAAAAGTCTATAAACCGGAAGTTGACTTCTGAATTCAAGCTATCATGACCCGACTCTATGTCATATTTCATCGCTTCCACAGTACTTACCTCACCTTTTTCTCTACCTTTGTGTCTGTCTGTCTCTTTTATATCGGTGGACCACTCTTCTTTTCCCCTTCCCAACTTTTTTGTGACATTGATGTTCCTCCCCATCTTGAAGTCCGAAGTCAACTAAATGACTAATGATAACTATTATAATGCCCTTTCATTTGATAAAAAAAAGTTCCTTAACCTTCCGGAACATATCTCTCGTAGCTTTGTGACAACACACTCCCAAGACAACAGTGGGGCTTGAGTACGTCGTCATCAAGTGCCCTTGGTACAATTGGTACCGTATTTACCTCTTGAATTTATTGAATATTACCCAGTTCATGTCGTCAATATAATTGAACAACTGTTCACCAATTCCACATTTTACTTTTAAAATATTTTGCATAATACACGAGAATCATTTTACATATCATTATAGACTCAACTCCATTTGGTTTTAAATTATTATAATTGTTATTATTATTGCCTTTATTTATTATTTTCCGGTCACTACAGTTCAATAGCATAAAAGTGTTTACATTAGTTCTTTAATTAAGAATCAAATGCTCGCATAACACGAAGAAAAACCGACTCAATTAGAGACCTTTACGACTCCGTGAATTCGGTTGCCACGAGACAGAATTGAAGCATAATCGGTGAAGGAATATGACTGTTAGGGTAGAATATGGTGGCAAAATGTAATCAGATGCACGAAGTGTGAATCAGTGGTGAGAAATGGTCACAATTTTGTTGCATTGTAATAGATGAAAGTCGATGGACGAATCACAATAATATAGTGAAGCTAATATTTGTTGTGAACTTGCCAATAAATACGCCTCTCATTTATTCACTAGGG